TCTGAAGCGCAGTGGCTGGCTGGCTGGCTGTCTCGGCTGTCTCGATGCAGAGCTTGGGTGCTTGAACTGAGGCAGTGGCGGGTACGGTCTGGGCTGTCGAAGTTTGAGTCGCACGCAGAACGGAGCTGAAAAGGTCTAGAGGCAGGCTGTGTCTCTTGCTTCGGAGCCCGACTGACGAAGAATGCAGTCGGAGGGGTCTAGTGGCGCAGCTTTGGCTTCTGGCGATGGTGGTCTGAAGGCAAGCCTCGTTCGACCCACGGCGCTAGTTGGCAGCTCCGAACGCAGCCGGCCCACTTTTCTAGTCGACTGCATTTCCGCATATTCGATCACGCGCTCTCCCACGGCACTTTTTTCTCCACATTTTGGGCGAAATTCGGGACTCGCCTTTGGCTGTCCCGAATCCCGGGCTTTGAGGCTGGTCTCCACGCCCACCAATGCACTCGGCACACCGTCTCACCACCACCATACTTCAATCCGCATATACGACGTGGTCGCCACACAATGTCTGCAACACAATCATCCAAGGCGGGCAGTCCGAACGACTTCCTCAAGGGCGTCATTGGCAAGAGCGTCAACGTCCGCCTCAACTCGGGCATCGACTACCAGGGCGTCCTGTCGTGCTTGGACGGATACATGAACATTGCGCTTGAAAACACAACCGAATACGTAGACGGCGTCAAGAAGAACAACTACGGCGACGCTTTTATCCGTGGAAACAACGGTACGTTCTCTAAACAACTCGTCGACGTCCCGGCATGCAGGAATCACAGCTTCTGACCTTCTGCTCTTTTACTCGCCCACCCTTGTTTTGCCCGTTTCCAATGCTTGCGCTATCAAACGCTCGCCCGGCTGCATCTGCTCATGCCACCCCACAAACAGTCATGTACATCACCGCACTCGAAAAGTAATCCCCGTTGTTCCGCTTGAACCTCCGTAACGGACACTCTCAGCATGCACACTCGGCACCACGACACAGCAGCGATGGATCCACCCCTGTAGCGTGACAGGTTGTTGGGCGTGTATGGCGGTGGAAGTCTAGTCTTACAATGTAGAGCTACTAAGCAGTGCTACTGATACGGCGGCCTAGAACCGCCGTAGGGCCGCGAAGCGCGGCGCGCCTCCCACTCGCGTGCGCCATATGCCTCGTCTCTCTCGCGCTCCCACGCTCGTTCGCGCTCGCGCTCGCGCTCAGCCAGTTCGGCTTCGTTCGACGCAAGCGGTGGCGGCGCGCGAGCGCCGTGACCAGACGGAGGCATGAAGCGCTCGGTTGCTCCGTAGCCTGCATCGCGCTCCCTGCCCAGGTCGCGACGCTGCGCCAGAGGTGGCGGTGCCGAAAGCGGCGGCAGCATCGGTCGCTCACCGCCCATCCCCCGGCCACCAGGCCCTGCGCGCTCCGGCCCGAAATCTTCGCGCAGGTAGCGCATCGGTCGCGCCGCGCCCACCTCGGACTCGTACACCGTGGGTCCACGCGCAAGCTCGCCGGCGCCATGGCCGTGTCTGTGGTACATGCTGCCCTCGCCCACAAACGCCGCTGGCGGCGTCAGAATCCCGCGAGCCAACGGCAGTCCGGGCGGCACCGGCGATCGACGCGATGCATACTCGCGTTCGCCCGGTCCAACGTGATATTCGGCTGCCCGGCGCGGACTAGGCGGGCCTGACCGCCAGTGCGAGCGTGACGAAGGCGGGCCTACATGCCAGCCACTCGGCTCGAGACTGCCAGGAGGCGGGGGTGGAGGCGTGGCGGAAGCAGGCATCATCTGCGCGTCTCGTCGTTCGTGAGCAAGCGATGACCCGTACCGCACACCAGGCCGCGATGCAGCATAAGCGTCGTACCCTCGCGCAGGCTCGTACGTCCCGGACTCCGGCGCGCCATATGCATGCAAGTATTCGCGGTACGGACGCGCGGATGGGGGCGCATTCGGCAGTGCGGGGGCATATCGCTGGCCTGCAAGCGACGGATGCGTATGGTGCGGCGACGTCGCTGCGGGCTGCGGTGCTGGTGGCAGAGCCCGTCCGCGGTCGTCCCGAGGAGGCTCAACCCGGCCGTATTCTGGGTATTCGTGTGGCGCCCTGAGCGGCATGCTAGGCAATGCTGGTGGCGGACGATCGCGTGGTACACGTTCTTCTGCATAGCGTGCGTCGGCAAAGTCTCGCATGTGAGCGGGCGGGTCCATGGGCCCTTCGTCGCGGGTATGGCGCGCATAGAGCGCGTTGTCAAAGACAGCGTCTCTGCTGCGAGCAGCCCGCACTCGCATCGCCTCTTCCTCGTCGCGAAGCGAGTACGGATGCGGCGGCGGCGGTTGTGGGTCTGTCGAAACGGATGCATTGGATGCTCTGCGGTCGAACGCAGGGCGTTCGTAGCGCGAGTCGAGCGTGCGAGTCAACCTCGGAGCCGTAGGTTGGGGCACTGCAAGCGATGGCTGAGGAAGGATGTCGGAGGCACGCGCACGTTTCGGGCTGCGATCGCGAGCGCGGCTGGACGCAGCCTCGAGGTCGGATGCCTCGCTGTCGTCCTTTGTGCGCTTGGAACTTCGGCGGCGCGAGCGCGGATGCTTGCGAACGCGCACCTTGAGGCCCTGTTCGGCAAACGACTTGGAGAGCTTGGTCGACTCCTCCATGCCGGGGAAGCGTTTGGCCGTGTAGACGTGGAAGGGATCGGAATAGACAGACTTGCAGTGGTGCACCGAGTGGCCGATGGTCTCGAAGAGGCAGAGCTTGAGCCGGTAGCGTCCCTCTACGCGGATGCTGAGATCGGGAAAGACGAAGAAGCCTTGATGCGAGCCGTCGATGTCTTTGAGGTGGTATAGGCACGAGACGCACGAGCCGCTGGTGTAGCGAGTCTTGCCATCGTTGAGCAGGTGGAGTTCCTCGTCGGTGTCTGCGTTGCAGAGCATGGCGTACATGAAAAAGTACGGATTTTCTAGGTACCAAGCCTTGTCCTCCCAGCCATCGCCGAGGGCGGTGGTTACGGGGACGCCCCTGCGGACGCCGGGCGTCTGGGGCTGCTTTGGACCATGACCAGGCTTGCGTTCGATGGGCGGTGCGACCGAGGAGTCTTCGACGACATCGGACTGACGGACGGGCCGATCGTGAGTGATGACGCGGAGCTGGACGATGGGAGCGGGATCGATGGGGCGTCGGTCGGCTTTTTCACCTACGCCACACATGCGCGACTGCTTGGGCTGTTCGCGGACGGTGAGCTGGTACTCGATGTGGTCGCGAGATGTAGTCATCTGCTGGACGGCGACATACTGGTAGGCGACGCTGTTTTCCGAGGTGGCTGCAGGAGTGAGGCTGGTGGAACTGCTGTCGTCGGTCTTTGTCATGTTGGCACTGTGCTGGGGGGTCATGGAAGTGGCGCGGCTGTCGATGCGACTCATTGTTGGCGGGAGAGGGGCGTGGTGGTTATCGTTCGGCGCGCGTTCGCGTTGATGTGGGAGGGAAAGGCAGGGGTTGCCTGAGCTTCCAGCGCCGAAGCGGAGCCGTAGAAGAGTGGGAAACGGCGCCGCGTGTATGAGCGCGTTACTCGACTAGTCGCGCATGCTCGATTGAGCGAGACTCGTGGGTTTGTGGTGCGCGAAGGGGAAGAAGCCCGGCTTGAGAAGGGAGCGGGCCAACGTGAGTTGGTCGTGGACGATGCGCCTGAGGCCGATGCGGATGGGAAGACGCAAGCGTTGGAATGGGTGTGGGCGCGGTTGACTTGCGGAAGGAGACGCCACAGAGATCAGGGGAAGCGCGCACAGTAGCGCGGGCACTGGGAGCGTGACAAGGTCCGGAGGGCTTTGCTGATTTGCAGGCTTGATGCTTGGCCAGTTCGAGAGCCAGTCAAGACGCGGCGGAGCTCGACGCGATGTTATGAACACGTGCTCGGGTACCTAACCTCGATGGCGAGAACGATAGATGCAGTGCTTCGAACCAGGGCGATGCGACGAGCTCGGTGCAAGGTTGAAAGAGCGTAAGTGAGCGTATCCGCGCTCCACGACCGAAGCTGCAGTGGGGCGATGCGAACGGCGTGAGGTGGAAGAGAAGAAGAAGGAGAGAAAGAAGAAGAAGAAGACGAAGCACACAACGGATGGATGGCAAGAGCGATGGCCCGAGTGCAGGAGAGGCGTGCAGGAGGTAAATGAGTGGGGACGGCAAGTGGGCAATTCGACGTTGACACGTGCGTGCGCGTGGTGGAAGCTGGGCGCGTCGGAGAGTAGCAAGGTTCAATCCAAGCCGGAACAGGGGAGGCGGTCGAGGTGATCAGATTCGGGAGGAGCGAGTGATGTTGAGGATCGTGGTGACGAAGCGAGAGCAGGGACGGATTGTGACGGCCAGGACGGAGGGGGCGGAAGGATGCCGAAGCGAGGCAAAGAAGGGAGGATGAGACAAATGAGGGATTCGCGCGACGGGATGTGAGGCCAAGCGGTAAGTTACCTGTAGCGCGCCGGCCAGGAGCGGAGCGGCCGACAAAAAGATGGGTGGTGGGGGGGCACGGCCGGAAAATGCTGTTTGGCATGGCCCAACCGAAGGAATTGGGTGTGCTCAGGCATGCGACCGACGCCATCACACGCCTGCCGGATTCTTGTTGACTCGTCGACCAACACCGCCTGACGGTGGCCTGGCCAAGGTCAAACATAGGTCAAGCAGAGACGTCCGTCCGTCCGTCCGTCCGTGGGTGTGCGGGCGGAAGGGGCGGGGAAGACTACCGCAGAGGAGCGACGCGCGGTGGGCAAGCCAAGCAGGCGGAGTGGAACCCGGATGCAGTCCATACAGAGAAGCAGGAGCAGACTTCCAAGCTGCAGGTGAGGCAGCAGCAGCAGCAGCAGCAGTGGCAGCAGCAGTGGCAGCAGTGGCAGCTGATGCAGCCGAAGGACGAGTTCCGGTGAGCTGCCGCCGCAAGCTCGCCATGCCAGTGCGGCGTGGTGGAGCGGTGCGAGTTCGGTCAAGCGGCCAGGGTGACAGTTTGAGCCGCTGCACACGCTCAGCGCGGCTGGCCGGCGCCGAAGCGAGATGCATCACAAGGGCGCGACGAGTGACCCGTCTGGAAGCGAATCCACCCAATTTCGTGCAGTGCAGCACTGCTGTCTCTCTCAACGGATCATCCGAACATCAAAGCACAAAATCCTCCGGCCAACGTGGTCCATTGTTCTCTGCCTTCTCTCATTGTCTCTCATTCAGAGGCATCGAGCAACGTAGCTTGATCCGCGCACGAGCAAGGCGAAAGGGAGTGCCGATGTCGGGTTTGCATTGGGTCCACAGGCTGAGAGCATCCTTGGCTCTCGGATCAAGCGAGCCTCGCATCGGCGTGCGGCGGTCTCAGAAACGCAAGTCGGAACCCCAAACCCGACAGCGCCAGAAACACACTCCCTGCACTTGGACGCAGTGCCGTCCCCCCGGTTCCCACATAAAATTTATTTATAAACAATTTGCTTTCCGAATAAAAAAGAAAGGCAGAGTGTGAAAAAGAGTGTATTTGCTGAGGCAGGCGTCTTTCGCTTTCGATAGCTTGGAGCAACTACTTGCTGACCGTCGCTACATCCAGCAAATGTGATCCAGGTACGCTTGCGCCGCCCAGACCCCACTCTTTGATATTGAGATGGGCGGTCGAGCCGAAGATCATCAATTCAGCTCAATGAAACGGTCACGGAAGAAAGCCGATGCCATGCAACAGCCGCGACTGCATCTCTTCGGATCATCCGTCGCGGCGGCTGTCGTCGGCGGCATCTCTGTACGAATCTGTTGATCTCGCTTCGTGACAAGAGGGGCAAGCGCGTGCAGATCGACTCGGAGCCGTGAGACGGCTTTCCTAGGATGACGACAGCGATGCTGGAGGCTGGGATCATCCTGGCGTGTCCAGACATTCGGGTCAAGGCGGGGCGGGGCGCAAAGACCTTTTTTTTTTATCCCTTGGTCTCTCCGTCGAGACTCAAAAAAAGCCAAGACCGCCTACCGCCGTTCCGAGCTGGTCCTTTTTTCCGGATTCCTTCGTTTTGAATCCGAATGATAATGACGAGAGCGAGCCACACCCCTCGACGTTTAGAAAAAAAAATTAAAACTAATATTTGCAAAATTGGAAATTGGAAATTGAAAATGGGAAACTGGAAAAGAGAAAAGACGGAACCAAAACAACGCTGGGAGTGACTGCAAAGTTGGTTAGATGCAAAGCAGCTGGCGGTGGTGTTGGTGCATCTGCCCTCGTGCGTGTGTGTTTGGCGCTCCGACTTCTGTCAGCGCACAGCACCACTCATCTGCAAGGCACGCAAAGCACGCACACACCAGCTCTCGTGCCCATCCGCGCGCACATCGAGGCGCTTCCGTCGGCCTCGTCCTCGGTGCATCCGCTTGGCAACCAAGCGGGAGCACGACCGCCGCCAAGAGGACGGCGCCGTGATTCGCTGCAAGAGAAGGCGGCTTTCCCTGCGATTGCACGGTGGCTCCAGCCCGAAATGAAAAAGATGGACGAGCGCCCGGGTTGCTGGGGCTTCTCGGCTATGCGCACTGTAACTTAACTTAGCCTCTCGTCAGTCTCGTCGGATTCTGCCGCAGAAGCCCATGCAGCTCGACATGCCCCGTGCAGCGCGCACCAAACCATCAGTCAAGCGAGCGTTTCATCAACGAATCAACCCCGGTCGCTTGAATCCACCGACTTTTCCTGTCGCTTTCCATGCAGCAGCCGTGCAGCCGTGCAAGCGGACAGGCTCTCTTGTCTTGCAGCTCAGCAGAGATCCGCGCATGTCCTGGTCTTCGATCGCACGGGGGATGCGAGCCATCCGGCGTACGGTACAGCACTAGTGAGTTGCTCTTGCGATCTTCCAAGGCCATGCCCGCAACCCATGCTTCCGTTGGCCCAATCCGCGAGCGGGTGAGCCCATCCGACATCGCCGGTCACTTGAGACGGCGCGCAGCGAACCGCGGCAATGCATCGATACGGTGGCCACCAACCAGAGATGGTCAAGATCGCCAGCGGGGTTTCGTGGATGTTCGGTCGCGTCACGGGGCACGCCATGGTCGCATGCGCAAGCGTCGGGTACAGGGTCCCGCACCACTGGCATCTTTTGTCGCCACGCAAGCGTCGCTTGAGATTATCTCAAACTAGATCCTCGGGTATCCTCCGGGCAGAGCCAACGTGGTCCCGCCCTGACATCCATCGATCCCGCGCAAAGGACCACGGCGAGAGATTTTCTGGCTGCCCCGCATGAAGCCGATTCCAGCCAAACCCTAACCTTGCCGGGTGATCATAACAGCCGCGCGTCACAAAAGCCGACACACGGGAACAAGGGGCTTGCACCTGGGTCTGCACATAAGCTCGACAATGGCTTGATCGGAGATGCGGGCATGAACTTGCTACCAGAGTTCATGCTCGCATGATGTGCCCACACTGGCTTTCACCGGGCGCCGCCGACAAAAAATTCGGCGCGGCCACGAGAGGCAGCCCGGCAAGCCCATCTTCCGGAGGAGAAAGTTTCTCGTTTCTTGCTCGTGAGAGTCGCCTTGGACGAGGTTGCGGGGTATGAAACATCAGGACGGTCGGGATCGGAGTTCACCCTGACGGTCTCGTAACCTACAGCACACGCCATCTGCTCGACTGTCTCTGCCCGCAACCCACAGAGATGGCGCAATGTGCCTCGGCGATCTCGGCCCCCGCCTTTCCTTTTTCCTTTCCAGTACGTTTCTTTCACCGGGCACCAGCTGCAGACACTCGCTCCGACTTCCTGGCGCCGGGTTTGCGTGGAACCTCCTCCGACCTTGTCCAGTTTGTTGGGAGATGACCGGCATCGACGACTCGCAGCCATGCTACAGTAACCTCACGTTGCAACGACATGCCAGCCGAGACGCCTGACCACCTCGGCGCACGGAAGCGCCACCTGTGTCTCTTGGCTCGCAGCCGTGGGAGAAAAGATCTGGCTCGGATCAGCCGTTGACGGTAGATCGCCCCATCTCATCGGTTTCGGAGCGGTCCCGACTCCGAAGCGTACCGCTGTCACGCCTGGCTTAAGCGAGCAAAAATCGGGTACGTTATCTCAGCAAATCCGTGCAACGCCAACCGCAGTCCAGGGTTCAAAGACGTGGCCGCAACTCGGGTTGCCCCGTTGCAATTCGCTCAAACTCGCTAGCGTCCCGCTACCGATCGGAAGCGTGGCATGAACGCGCGCGCGCTCGGAAGCGATCACCGGACCGCCGCGCCAACGACGCCGCTGCAGCCATTCCGGTCACACGTCCGATCCGATCAAGCAGCGCATGACTCGCCGGCGCACCCACACTCCCGCTGCAATTCATGCTGGAGGACGAAAATAGCTCCATCGCGGCCGCGCTAACACCACGGCATCACCGAGGAGACAAAGGCGACAGGTGGACGCCTACAGCCCGCCGGTCATCTTCCGCGGAAGCAGCGTCGCGAAGGTGAGGTAGCTCGTGTGGCCTCGCATCTGCAGACGACCAACCAAGTCGGGCAACAAGAGGGCGAAGACAAAGAGGTCAGTGGATCGCATCTCGACGCGGCTGAAAGTCAAGGCACGATGAATAGGCTTACCTCGTAGAAGGGCCGCGAGAAGACGCTCGCTGGTTGGATGGGCTGGTTCTGCTGCGACTGGATTTGCAACAGGCGCGCCTTCTTCTTGGTGATAGCGACGCCGCCCTGGATGCCGCGTTGGAACGATCCTTCGGCACCGGACTGTTGCGGTGTCTCTGCAGCGTCGGTGTCGGTGCCGTTGGTCTGCGCCTGTGCCTCGGCGCCGTCGTCTTGCTCGCTAGCATCGATGCCCTCGTGCTTGCGCTTGAGCGTCTCGCCTTCCGTTGTCGATGCGTCGTGGCCTGCCTCGAGTTGTGGGCTGTCGGTATCGTTGGCTTGTGCGTGCGCCTTTGCGGCGCGTGCCTTTTCGATCTGGATCAGACGCCGCGACTCCTTGCGCTGTTCGACCACGCGGATGCGGTTGACGGCCTCGTCGATGCTCACCTGGGGCCCGGCCGAGGCGTGGCTCTCGTGGGTGCGCACGAGCGATTCAAACGTCTCGACGTCAGTGAAGCCGTGCTCGTTGAGTGCCGTGACGGTCTTGAGCACCTGCTCGATGCACGGTGAGAAGCAGCAGATGCGCGTGACAACATCGCGCCGCAACGCCTGCACCGCATGCCCCACCGCCTCCCACGGCGCCGGCAGGTCGAGGAACACCGAGTCGGCGGCGTCGGTGAGGCCGAAGCCGTCCTTGCACACGTTGCGATGGTTGAGCACGATCACCTTGTCCATACCGTGCGCGGCGAATTCTGCGCGCGCCTTGTGTGCACGAGGCTCGTGGAACTCGAAGCTCCACACCCGGCCGTGCTCCTCGGGCACGTGTGCATCCGTGTCCGGCTGAACGTCCTTCGGACCGGGAGTGCCTTCTACGCTGTCGGTCGGGGCGGCTTCGTCCTCGGTGTCGCGAGGCTGACCTCGTCCTCGGGACAGGTTCTGCTGCAGGTCATTTGGCAGTCCACCCCAGTTCCTCGGCACCTGCATCTGCGCCGACGTGGCCTTGGTCTTACCCGTGCCCGCATCGGCGCGTCCGACACAGCGCGCGATAAAGTGGCTGAAGCTTCCGGATCCGGTTCCCGCTTCGATGACGCGACTGCCAGGACCCATGTTGAGCTTCATCGAGATGAACGACATGTCTGGTGCGTAGAGGATTTGGGTGCGATGCGGCAGGGCGAGCGTCCAGAGCTCGGGCGTGGGTCGGAGGAGGTAGATGTAGCCGCGTCCGCGCTTCGAAACCATCTTGCTGCCGTACGGCATGCCTGCCATATCGTCGTGCGGAAAGTGACCAAACATGTTGGATACGTGCTCGCCCGGCGTCACCGTAAGCGGCATGGGTGTCTTGTCGCGCGAGGCAAAGATGATGACCAGATCGCCCGGTTGGATGTAGGCATCGCGGGCGAAGCTGAGGCTGGCACTCGAGGTGGAAGCAACGGGCAGCGCCGAAGTCGATGCGGCGCTGGCGGTTGCGAGTGTCGTCGACATTGCTGCGTTGCTGATGCCACGTTCGAGATGTCTGTCCGAATGATGAGTGGAGGCAGGAGGAAGTGTTTTGCTTCCATGAGGAGCCACAGCCAGACTTTTTTTTGCTGCTTCGCCGAGCCAGGAAGATTCAGCGGGGTCCATCCACGACTTGCGAATTCCGGGATTCCGCCGCGAATTTTGCCCCACACTTGGAGACGCCGGTCTAACAGCTTCACCTTTCGAGGCACATTCTCGACCCGATGCATGTCTAGATCGAATCACGCCAAAACGCGGCTGGGCTGTCCCGATGCAACCAGCTGGCGCAGGAGGGGACGCGTGGGCCCTGGCTCGTTTGCCTTTCTTTTCCTCGGGCCGTCTGCCAAGTCTGGCGGAGGCAGCGCCATGGTTGGCGGGTGCGTTCGATGGTCGAGAAGAAAATTTATTGAGAGTCGACTGGGCTGCGCCGCTCTCCCACCGCCCGTCAGGTCAGGTCAGGAAGAACCGGCAAAGGAGCGAAGCCTCCATCGAGACGAGTTGAGGCCCACCTCGCAAAAGCGCAAAAAGCACATGCTGATCACCTCCTCCGATCTCTCGTCACGATCACTCCCCCGCATATTCTCCAACTCCAACCCACGCCCGCGCTCCTCGACCCGGAGCTCGCCCGCCCCCTCTCGCATTTTTCGCCGCCTCCCTGCCGGGGGTGCGAGCAGCCGCCGCCCCAGACGATCGCGCCCGTCTGGACCTTCGCTTCCATCCAGCCTTCTCGTCACCTGTGGCTCGCCGCCAGCCGGCGCGCGCATCCCGCGCCGCCATCCTCACTTCTTGGGGTGCGCAGTCCCACTCGTAGAGCATTCCGAGGCATCATCGCACGACACGTACCGAACGCGTTCCGGTCCATCCGCGGAAGTTGACGACGACAACGAGCGACTGCGCCAACACCTTCTCGCGCAGTCAGCGATCCGCACGTCATCCATCGGTTTGATGCACAGCAACGTCTCGAACACACTCTAGCACAGGCTAACCCCGCATGCACCACGCGCATCACCCCTGGTGCCTAGGCTCTCTCCGAAACATCATATCCCTTCGCACCTGCGCATCCCCACGCGCTTTCGGGTTGACGGACCCGTGGTAACACCGTTGCACGATCAGCCAGCCATGGCGACGCATACCCAGGTCGACATGCTCGTCGACCCTTCCTCGTCCATATCGGAACCCACATCCGCCTTACCAAACTCTGGCGACACACAAATCATGGATCCGCAGACGCCACCACTCGCCCCAGCTACGCAGCCCTCGGCAGACGCCCTCGCAGTTCCAGCGAGCGTCGATGCAGCCGACGACGTGACCATGTCTTCCCTGCAGGTGCCCGACGAAGCAGCTCTTGCTGCTGCTGCAGCTGCTATGGCCGCTGCGGCCGCAGTTCAGGCGACCGCCAACAGCGCCGGCCAGCACGACGCAGCCTCTAGCGGCATCAACGGCACCGACGATCTCAACTCGTATCTGCTTGCCGCTGCCGCCGCCTCGGTCCACGCTCAGCAGCAAAACAACCCCGACGAGCGCACCGCAGCATCCGAAGACAGCTTCGACTCGACAGCAACCCCCATACCCAACAGCAGCATCTACACCAATGCCACCTCGGTCAACGGTGCTGAAGACGACGACACGCGCTCGACCATCGTCAGTCAGTGCCGCAGGTACACCGAGGACCCGACGCCGTTCCCGCTCAGCATCGGCAAGCGCACACCAGGAGGCTGCGCCGAGCTTTTCCAGGCCATCCCGCAGTCGGCCGCACAGACGCTGCAAACCCTGCCTCTCACCGAGGCCACCGTGGAGCTCGGCAAGACGCGCTGCTACTGGGCCTTGCTCTCAGCGGACTACTCCCAGGGAAACGGTCCTACGGGCGAGAAGCTCCACTTTGTCTATCTCGACCCCGTGCTGCAGCAGCACATGGCCGAGCAGGCGGAGCGTCTGGTCGGCTCCGACTTTTACGACTATGTGCACCCCGAGGAGCGCGACCGCGTATGCGACGACATGCACAAGATCGTCGAGAGCCGCACGCTTTTCGGCAGCGTGACGCGCTGTCGCTTCTCGCGCGTCCCGCGCATCCGCGAGCTGCTCGGCGCCGTCGACCCGCCGCGCGACCCGGAAGCAGACAGGTACGTCGAGGACGAGAGCTTCGTCGCCATCGACATTGTCATCAACTGGATCGGCGACGGCATGCTGCTCTGCTTCTTCCATGCCATCATCGACAAGGCGCTCGAGGACAACGACGAGCAGCACAAGTCCGACTGGACCAACTGGTGCGGCACCCCGGGCCCGAGCTTCACGCTGCGCCAGTGCGACGTGCTGTGGAAGCAGGTCAAGGCCGTGCCCCGCGAGCCTGTGCCCGAGTCCGGACCGGTGCACGTCTTCCAAATCATCGAGGCGCACGGCGACAGAAAGGTGCTGCTCAGCTGGCCACCGCCGCGCTTCTTCCCGCGTGAGATTGAGGCGGGCCCCAACTCGGACACGGCGACGTACAACGATGCCGCGTACTTTGCCGATGACTTTGCGCGGTTGGCGCAGGGCGTTTCGATTGCGCCTGGGTCATCGTCGCTGTCGGACGCCAACACGAGCTGCACGAGACGCTTCCGCGCCAAGCACACGCTCACCACCGAGGGCAAGGTGCGCAGCATCGAGAGCGTCCTCATTCCCTACGGCGGCGTCATCCTTGCGTGCTTCCACACCACCTTTCAGCAGCAGCTTCCGCCAGCCGACCCCAAGCTCGTCACTCCCAGCGTTCAGCCGAACGACGCACGGCGCAAGGCTGAGGATGACGGTGCGCACGCCTCGCCGAACAAGCGCGCCAAGACCGAGCCCGAGGCGTCCGACAAGGTCGGTGCGGCCGCCGCGGCTCAGCCTCGAGCGCCGTCGACGCCAGCCACCAACGGCTCGCGCACGCCAACAGCCAAGGCCGCCAACAGTCATGCGGCCAAGACGCCGAGCAAGTACAGCAAGCCGACGTCAAAGGCGGAAGGGCTGGCGGCGCTGGCCAACCCGAGCCTGATGTACACCAATGCGCCCGCCAAAGCGCCGAGCACACCTGCTGCTGCGGCGCGGCCGGCGGCAGCTGCGCAGACCCCGCGCGAGGTGACGGGTGCGACGGCATCGCCCAGTGCCAGCGACTCGCCGGGTAGCGGCGCCAACAAGGCATGCACGGGCTGCGGCAAGATCAACAGCCCCGAGTGGCGACGTGGACCGACGGGGCACAAGACGCTGTGCAACGCGTGCGGCCTGCGGTACGCGCGCTCGCTCACGCGCCGCAAGAAGAAGAAGGGCAAGGACGGCGAGGTGGAGTTCATCGAGCCCACGGGCGATCCGAGCGTGGTGCCCAAGAGCCGCGGCGGAGGCGGCGGAAGCTTACCTGGCGTGCATCGCAAGAACAGCAAAAAGAGGAAGGAGGAAGAGGCGGCCAAGGCGGCTGCGGTTGCAGCGGTGGGCACCGAGCATGCAGCGACTCCCGGCGCTACCGCGAGTCCGTCGTCGCTCGAGGGGACGCAGAGTCCGGCAGGCTCGACGCCCGCCAAGCGCGAAGTGCCGGCTGGAGATGTAGCCAAGTCGCAACCGGCAGCTGCGCCTGCTGCTGCCGTCAAGGTAGAAGCGGGCGCAACGCCGCTCAGCGCGAGTGCAGCTGTGGCGGTGCCGACGCCGGCTGCGGTGGCGAGCACGGCCGAGACAAGCGCATCGGATGCGGATGCGGCGCACTCGATTGCCGTTTCGATCGCCCTCGATGCCATCGCGCAGGCCACATCGGCTGTGCCCGCCGTGGATGCCAATGCGCTGCCGCTCCCCGTCTCGAATGCGATCAGCCGTGCGATTGCGGCTACGATCGGGAGCACGACTGGCGGCGCGGGCGCGCACCTCACTTCGCAAGCGCTGGCTGTGTCGGATGCGGCGGTGGCTAGTGTGCCTGCAGTGTCCGTGCCCGTAACCACTGGCGAACCGGACTTGGACCCGAGCGTCAGCGCGGCGGCACTGCAGACGATCGAGTCGGTGGTGTCCGAGGCGCTGTACAAACAGCTCGTCCAGTCGAGTCAGCCCCAAACGCCGCCAGCGGACAAGAACGAGGCGTTCACCCACAGCCTGGGAGGCGAACAGCAGCCGATTGACCTTGCCCAGGTGCTCACTGCCGACGCCATCCGTGCCGCAGCTCAGGCTGCAGTCGCCCAGGGCGTGACGGATGAGTCGCAGTGATTCGCCATCCCAACCCCCAAAAATTTAAATCAATCCATGCCGTCCACACCGGATGCGTATGGAATGTACTTCTACCCACCCACTCGTTTCGATGTGGTGAACCATGCCTGTACTTTAGCTGCGTCCGCCGTTGATGCTTCACCAAGCCCAAGGCGGCGCTCGTTGTATTTGTTTTTATCCGAAGTGATTCCCGTTTTCCACAGACCGAAAGCGCGTGCGAATGGAAGGGTGGAAAGATGCATTGTACAAACACAGCCACGAATCAACAAGAGCTCGAGACAGGGGGGGGACAGGGTTCAAATGTAGTAAGCGGAGGCGTTGGTGCCTCTACGCTTGGTGGGCGAGTCCGGCAGGGGTGTCGAGTCGCGCGCAAATAGCGACTTGCTCGTCTCGACGCGCGGGCTCGACTTGAGCAGCTTGAGATCCATCTCGATCGTCTTGCGCGGTTTCCTCCTCTCGCTCCCACCACCGGCGGCGGCGGCGGGGAGGGGTAGAGGGTTGGGCGAGGCATTGGTCCATGCAGCCCCGGAAAGCTTGTTGGGCGAAGCGGGGAGCATGCCCAGACCGATGGTGGGCGGTCGGTTGTACGTGTGTGCGCCGTAGTACGGCTGGTCGTTCGACAGCGCCAGATGCGTCGTGCGCGGCAGAGCGGCAGCATACCTGCGCGGAGATGCCGGCTCGTCGTGCTCGCCATCGGATGCGGGTGGCGAAGGATGCGACGGCGAGTGTTGGACGAGCTGCGCAATCAGATCGGCCTGCGCCTTCATGCGCGTCTTCCACGACGCCACCGAAGCCTCCAGATCCGCCATGATCGCTCGCTGCGATGCGATCACCGCGTTGAGCCGCTCGATCTCCTCGCGCTCGGCACGGGCAGTCGCGCCTGCACCCGCACTAAACGTTGCCGCACTGCCCAGCAGAACGCTGCGAGCCCCCGCTGCTACCGAGGGCGACGCGGGAGATGCAGGCTCTTCGCCTGCACGGTAGCGGCGGTACTCCTTGACCGAGCCGGCACGGTGCACGCCCAACCCCGGCGGTGTGCTCAGCTCATTGCGCAGCCGAGAC